AGTTCAACTTTAAATCATTTGTTTAACACAGCTGCAGCAAGATTTAACAGAATTAGCAAGAACTATATCCCATGCCTCAGGAGCTGGCTGGTAATTCTGTGCATGGATTAGAAAGCAGCAAAAAAAAGGACAGAGGATAAAGGACAGCTGCCAGAATTGTTCTGTTACACTAAAAAGCAAAGGGGCACACACAAACAATTCCTGCTGGGAATTACTGTCCAACAAAAGCCTGTCTGGCTCCATGGCCAGAGGCCACCACTGCCTGTTTGAGATTCATTTTATCATGTGAAAGCAGCAGCTCCCAAGCACAGGCTACTCCCTCAGCCTACAAAAGCATTGCCACAGCCAGGGATATCTCCTCTACCATTAACAAAAATAAGTATCTTATTTCTTTCTGTATCTATAATATATAAATAGATGATAATTTGTTTTTATTAATGTAGCTAAATATATTCTACAAATAAGTTATTTGGAGAACATCATCTCTATGTCAGCAAGTGCTGCTATAGCCAGTGAAGGAATTCTTTATGAATGGTCCTTTGAAGTACTTTAATTACCAAGTAGCCAATTATGGAAGCCTAAGTCAGTTTTCACACTGCCGAGAGACTGATTTTTAGACATGATCCACACTGCACCTGTTTAGAAGTGAAAAATGCAACTTTCTTTTCTTAAGGTCCCTCTCCTCACATACAAAGCCACTCCTCAGTGACCAGTGCAACCTCCCACTCAACACTGACAACCTGAAGGTACAAACAATTGGCACCAAATCACTCAAACACTTTTCAACAGCAACGCTGAAACTGAAGCAAAGCCAGAGTAACCTCCTACCACACCCTAACTCAGTTCTTATTAGTGCAACTCTGACACAAAATCTTCTTACAGGCAAAGACATCTGTAAACCAAGCAAGTGTAAAATGACAAAAAAAACCCAACCCACACTGCATGGAAAAATCCCAAAGGATTAGTGTCAGAAAATGTTTGGCAGCAAGAGATTGGGAAAAACCATGAAGGCCTAACAGAAGAGTGGCTACACCAGTCACTGCAGGGCGGGTGTTGAAGCAGATCTGCTGCAGGAAGATTTTGTTATTCAAGCTTTTCATCTCCTTCCTCCACATCCTTCAGGCTGAGCACTTCCAGGGATCCTTTCCCTTTTGTCTCACTGCGGATCAGCTCGTCGATCTCCCTGAAGCAGCCTGGGTCAATAAGGCACACCTGCAACGTTCCACATTTCATCAATCAGCCAAGAATGTTTGCATTTCATCAGCCCTACCCAAGGCCTAGCATTCACTTTCATTAAAACAATCCTAGTTAGTTACTGAGGAGGACTCTGAAGAGTTGACAAACTCTGTCTGGCAGCAAACTTTCCACAGAGTTCTGCCCATGCTGGACATGGCTTTTGCCAGTTGGGATTGCTGGACTCTAATCTGCTTGTATGAAGATTTTAATACCAAATTTTGCTTTACCACCACCAACTTAAAAAAAAAAAAAAATTAGCCACCCTTAAAATCTAGACAGAAGTCACCCAAATAAGTAACAATAATATTTCACATACAGGAGAGACTTATCAGTGTTGCATGATCATCACTGCTAAGGGGAATTGCACAGTGCACTCCTCAGCGTGGAACAGCAACCTCTGGATGCCAAAGGCTGCTTCCATGCCCACATCACTAGGATTGTGTGAAATTAAAAATTCCCAACCACTGCTCTCATTCAGGATCTTAGGTAAGCCTTCAGTTTATCTAAACAGCTTCCATATATGAATTCATCTCCTAGTAAAATACACATGTGTAGTTCAAATCAAACCTGAACCCCAGGGACTGCTTTTTGCTTACCATTTCCAGCTGTTCCTGGAAGTCTTCACTCTCAGTAACTTTAATCAGTGGCTTCAGCTTCTCTTTCAGTTTCTTGCCCTCTTTTGCTGGCAAGATAAATCTCAGCCTCATGTGAGCACGTTCAATCTGCATGGTCTCCTTCAGCTGCCTGATCACTTCCAGGGCCTGTTGGACAAGAAAAAGACCACTTGCACACCTGCTTAAAACCCAGCATCCAGATCCAAATCTCAAACCAGCTTCAGAGCCATCTCTCAATGCTGGTCACTGCTGCTCTGCTGTCATGCTCTTTTGACAGATGAACAAGAAAAGGCTGACTTGTTGTTTGTGACCACTTTGAACACTTAAAAGCTGTCTGAAATAAAATTAAATAGCTATACTGCAAAACACCACAAACCCCCATGGCTCAAATGCAAAACTGATATACTCCTCAATTAGCATAAATCATAAACCTTTTATTTCTGCTCTAAGTGTATCACTGTTGGCTTTTCTCCTTTCTTTCTCCCCTCCCTGAATTCTCAGCAAACAAATTGACAGAGTTGCAGGAGCTGCTTCTCTGCAGCACTCAGCTGCCAGATGGCTGAGTAATCCCTGTGCAGGCCTCAGATCCCAGCGCTCTGCTGATCCCTCTGTGATGAGACCCGAGGAATTGCACTGGGTGACAGCACCTCGGAGCAGGAGCTGCTCCTGCAGGAACCTCACCTGCTGCTTTGTGCTCTTGTTGGGTTTGACAGAGTAGTGGATGTCCTTCATGGCCCTCTCGATGAGGATGACAGTGTAGGGCCGCTTGGTCTCGGGGTTCACGCACTTGTCAGCCACGATGGTGGCGATGTCGCGGAACATCTGCTCCAGCTGCGTGTGCCGCTCCTTGTCCGACACCTGCAGCTCCCCTTTGGACAAAATCTGGTTTACCCACAGAAACCCGTTAGTGAACGTCCTGGATCTCAAGAGTGACAAGTTACATTTGACAACTTTGAGTAACTTTGTTAAATTTGACAACTGCTGGAAAAGTTGGGTGAGATTTGAAGTGCAGAAAGCAATAATCAAATTAATAATGTGAATAATTTCAACAGACAGCATTGGAAAGGCTTCAGACAAAAAAAACTCACCCCAGAAACACTAAACAGCAGCAAGAGAAGCACAGATTTCACAGAATATCTTAAGCTGGAAGGGACTCCTCAAGGACCACTCAGTCCAGCCCTGGCCCTGCACAGACACCCCAACAATCCCACCCTGGGCATCCCTGGAAGCTCTGGCAGCCTCAGGGCTGTGCCCATTCATTCCCTGGGCAGCCTGGGCAGTGCCAGCACCCTCTGGGGGAAGAACCTTTCCCAAAATCCAACCTGACCCTGCCCTGGCACAGCTCCAGCCCCTCCCTGTGTGCTGTCCCTGTCCCACAGAGCAGAGATGGGAGCTGTCCCTTGGGAGGAGCTGCAGACCCCAATGAGGTCTGACCTCAGTCTCCTCAGGCTGAACAGACCAAGTGTCCTCAGCTGCTCCTTGCGTGGCCCCTCCAGGCCCTTCACCTTCTTTGTAGCTCTCTTTGGACTCTGACAGCTTTGGATCTCTCTTATATTGTGGCACCCAAAATTGCCCCAGAGCAGAGTAGGACAATCCTCTCCCTGGCCCAGCTGTTGAAACTGGGCCTGGTGGCCCCAGGAGAGGGATGTCCCTCCTGGCTGCCAGGGCAATGCTGACTCAAGAGATTTACTGAAATCCTATCAACCACAGCAGGTCCATAGTTCATATCTCACCAGAAAGGACTAAGATATTAGATCTGTTACTTACACCTAAGTGAGCTCTCCAAAGTAAGAAACTGTCCCCTTCTTTTCTCTGCATTCTTAATAATTTATCTTATGTGAGGAACTCTTCAGTGCTGGCTGTGTCCAGACACATCAGTGCATGCAAGTTGTGTGTTAGAATTCTTTCCAGCCACATGCATATGCCAAATTTAAAACTATAAAACAGAGACACAGCTCCTTTTTATCCATTTCTTAACAACCAACACTTTCACCTATGGCAGCATTCTAGAAACACCCTTCAGTACAAATCAACCTAAATTCGTGACTAAATCTTCTCACAACTTTTATAAAGCAAAGTGTGTGAAACCTACCATCTTACAGATTTCTGTCTGGTCATCTGTTCCAAATGCTTTAACCAGATCTTCCTTCTTTGCCACCTGGCCTTTGGAGACATTGACAAACACCGTGTGTGTCTGCAGGACCTCGTCGAGATCTTTCTCCCTAGAGATTAAGACAAATGTAGAAAACTCAGAATAATCCCAGAATGATGCCAGTGCCATGGTCAGGGGCACCTCCCGCTGTCCCAGGCTGCTCCCAGCCCTGTCCAGCCTGGCCTTGGGCACTGCCAGGGATCCAGGGGCAGCCCCAGCTGCTCTGGGCACCCTGTGCCAGGGCCTGCCCACCCTCACAGGGAACAATTCCTCATTCCAAATATCCCATCTATCCATCCCTGCCCTCTGTCACAGTGAAACACTGCCCCTCGTCGGGGCACTCCGTGCCTTGCCCAAGCCCCTCTCCAGCAAAGCAGCAATACCAGCTGCGTTCAGCGAGGAGAGAGAGAGCTCCCGCTGCCCCGGGCTGACTCAGCACAGCTGGAACCTTCCAGCACAGCGCTGTCGCTGCCCAGGCACGGGCACGGCGCTCC